AAACTTAGCACTTAGACTTATATACCACTTCATGGTGCTTTACAGCCCTCTCTAAGCAGTTCACAGAGGTAGCATATTGTCCCCAAAAATCTGGGTCCTCATTTCACCCACTTCAGAAGGATGGGAGGCTGAGTCAACCTTGAGCCTGGTGAGATTTGACCTGCCAAACTGCAGGCAGTCAGCAGAAGTAGCCTGCAGTACTGTACTCTAACCACTGCACCACCATGGTTCATAAACAGTGTAAGTCAAGGACTACCTATACTCAAATGGATTTTTACATGGACAAATAAGTCATGGATGATAAAACTTAGCATCTCTAAATGCCAAAGACAGACAAGAATAGAAGGCTGAACTTAAGACAGGTGACCTTGAACTGCTACCATTCAGCTTCTGCCCTGAAAATCCCCCTGGCAGGCTTTCAGAAAAGAAGAAACCTGACCATCTTTTAAGCTTCCCCTTGCAAGATCAATATAAGACGTTTCTATGTTTCTACCTTCCGCGTACCAGCTTCCTATCTGCTCCCGAAATAAGACTCACCTCAGGACCTCCTTCACCACTGCTTTCAACAGAGGCATCTGAGCTACATCAGCAGCGCTTGGAATGAGGTTGTCCTGCATCACAGTGGTAATTTCCTCATGGACGGCTGCTTGTATCTGAGCGTGACGGGACAACTCATACAAACTCCAGGACAAAGTGCTTGAGATCTGCAGGGACAGAGAGAGAGATGGATTCAGAACTAGTTTAAGCAGTGCAGGGAATAACCAGCCCCTACGAGGCTGGAAGCGTTGTTGCCAAGTTGTAGGTACTGTTTTTCTGCTAGCTGTCTAGGGCATTCTTCTTTCGTTCAGCCAAAGAACAAAAGCTAAGAATCATGGATGGAATCCATGTCCTTTCATCAGATTATACCAGATCTAGAGTGGATCAGATAATATTGCGAACCGCATTCTAAACAGAGCTGAAGAGTCCACAGTGCAGACAATTATTTACAGCATTTTTTTTAAAGCTAAGCGTCATCAACTTTATATATTTTAAAGCAGGGATTCTTCAAATCCCTTGTATATATGCTGGACTACATCCATGTCAGGCCTGCATCCTACTTTTGGATGCTATTTGGAACCCTGACAGTCTATCCCTAACTGGAAATGACCGGAAACATAATCTAACACAACTGGAGGGTTTCTGATTGGGGAAAGATGTCCTTGCTTCAAGTAAGAAAATAAATTTCAGGTTCAAGCAAAATCCCATTACACCTGCATCCTTGTCCTCCTCTAAAGAACATCTACAGAAGGGAAGGAATATGATCCTTTTGACTATTTATTCAAGAAAAGGTTATCGCGGCCCGCAGAACAGTTGACTCCACGTTAAGAAGATGACATCATCCATCTAACCTCTTGTCCCCAACATCTATCCATCCATTCCCCCCCCTCATATGAACTAATTTCAGCTGAAATTGGATTGGACGTGGCTTCCAAAGGTAGAAAGAAATAACGCTTGTGAGTACAGAAAATATTCAATTTTACAGCATCCTCAAATGCTTACCGTGTCCACACCAGCCAGCAGAAGCTCAGTCACATTTCCATAGATGGATTTCATGGACAGTTTTTCTTGTGCCAAATAATAAGTGAGGTATTTTCCTTCGACTTTCTCCCCCTGGGTGATTCTTTCTGAAACTTCAGCCATCCGCTTATCAATGTGTCCTTTGGCTGGAAAAGAAATGGCCAAAAGATTATTCTTTGTCTCCCTGTTGGAGCCATCCAATAAATATTTAACAATATCATGTCTGAATGTTTCTTATTTCAAACCAAGTTTGAATATGTTTTAATATGACCTTAGGCAAACAGGAGCATATCCCCTTTTAAATAGGCCCTGACTCTCTATAACATGTCAGCAATAGGTATCTATCTGTTTTAGGTATTTACACAATATCCTTCAAGCAAATCCTCAAAGTATTGCTATCTAGACTTAGCATTTGGGGAAATTTCTGACTAATCTCTCTCTTAGAAGAAAGGAGAAAAAAAAATTGTAACAGCAAATGAAATGAGAAATAGCACATTTCCAGTCCTTACAAAACATTCTTTATAATAAATAATAACAAGGACAATATATATAATCACATCAAAGCAGAAATCTATACCTCTCTATCTCTAATCTATCTCTCTATCTATCATCTATTTATCTACGTATTTATCATCTATCAGCTCTTTCTCTTTATAACATTTATACAGTCACCCATCTTTCTGCCAATTCTGGGCAGCTACCAATCGAAGATTAGTTTAAAATTACTTAAAGTAGGAAACTTTAGTGGCACAAACACTCACCAAACTCAAACATATAATCCCAAGATTCACAGAACTTCTGCCACGGCTTAGGAAAGATTTGGTGCAAAAATTTGGGCATGGCCATCGTGAGCAGAGTCATGACGAACATGGTATTGATGGAGCTAATGAACTTCTCTGTTTCTTCTGGAACTTTGGGTTCCAGGCAGCCAATGCGGGATTCAAAGAGGACCGAAGAAATACCTAGGGAAGGGAATTAAATGAATGGTCACTTCAATCATTACAGCAGAAACTTTATCCATCAAACCTCATTCCTTAATACAGTGTTTCTCAACCTTGGCGACTTTAAGTCCTGTAGAGTTGGCTGGGGGATTCTGGGAGTTGAAGTCCACAGGACTTAAAGTCGCCAAGGTTGAGAAACACTGCCTTAGTATCTGAGATTTGTTTCGTTTTTTAACAAGCACTGGCAACATACTTTCAAGTCCTTCTCTGCAACTATCAGGGTTTTAAAATTGTAATTGAAGAATTAAATTTAAATATTGAAGTTAGAGCTTTTCACTTTGCAGAATTCAACATAAGTTGCCATTTTTTAAATGCCTAAAACCCTGGTTTACAAGAAACCTGGAAATTATTGAGGACATCTTAAGGGATGGTATAATCGTACTGAAGGAGTCAAGAAAGAACTTATGGGGAGAAAAGTATAAATTAGATATTCACATGTGCTTGTATCATCAAGGCTATAAAAATAGTGTATAGGTAGTCCTCGACTTACGACCACAATTGGGACCAGAATTTCTGTTGCTAAGCAGGGTGGTTGAGTCATGCCCGATTTTATGACTTTTTTGCCACAGATTCACTTATTGAATCATGCAGTCATTAAGCAAATCTGGCTTTCCCCCCACTTGACTTTGCTTGTGAGAAGCTGGGTGGGAAGGTTTGCATTTTTTTGCTTTTTTGCTGTCCATCTCATATCAAAATGACTCTGGCAATCATGTGACCTGGGACAGTGCAACCTTTGTGCCAGTTCCCAAGCATCGAAGTGTAGCTCACATGACTGTGGGATGCTGCAACAGTTGTTAAGTGTGAGGACCAGTCGTAAGCTGTTTTTTTCCCCCCAGTGCTATTACAACTTCAAACTGTCTCTAAACAAAGGGTTCTAAGTTGAGGACTAATTGTAGTTTATCTCAGATGAACTCAGCCCCGCTCCATTATACCCATTACACTACATTTTACCGTTATCCTAGATTTCCCTACTTGGATACAGATGGAATGTTGTAGGGCAATTTTATAAAATGGGTGTAGCAGTAAGATACCTTCTAATCCAAACTTGTAGAATTCATCGGCCACATTCTTGACCACGTGTCGCTCGTGGCGATTTCTCTGGTGCTGCAGCCGGCCGATCAGATCACTGACCACCTCGTTCAGGATGCCGGTGTAAGATTCCACCTCCTTGGGCTTCAGCATGTGTTTTCCTAGGATGCTGCGAATTTGCTGCCACTCCTCACCTTCCCTGCATGGTAGAAAAAAAGCCTCTGTTAGTCTGCTGGACAGAAGGGAAGCCCAAAGCTCTACAGAGACAAAACTAGAAATAAATAAGAACATCCCCCCTTTTCCAAAAAGTATCAGCTGGTGGACCTACACCTCCAGCCTCTTAAAAGAGACTTTCTTTTTCCCTCCACTCTCAATTATGTCTGATTCCGATTGGACAAGCCCCTGTAGATTTCCTGGCAAGGTTTTTCAATAGTGGTTTACCATTGCATTATTCCTAGGGCTGAGGGAAAGTGACTGGGCCAAGGTAACCCAGCTGGCTTTATGCCCCAGGAAAGATTAGAACAGTTTCCTGGTTTCTAGCCCTGATGCCTTAGCCATTACGCCACACTGGGATAGATAGTCCATTAATAATCTGGAAACAAACCACCCGGAGCCTCTCCAAAAGGATTGAGTGCTTATCTCTTGGTTACATTTTCTTTTCTTGTTACTCACATCCTGCATTTGTCCAGGCTGTGGAAGCCACCAGCCAAGCAGATGGGAGAACCCCTACTGAGGGAGCCTGAGTCATCTATGGCTTAGTGAAGCCCTCAAAGTGATTTCTCACTTCCCAGCCTGTAGGCTTGCAGAAGCCTCAGCAAGATCCTGCTGTTCTCACGTAAGGCATTTCCAGAAAACATGGGGGACATCTTCTCTCTTGTCTTCCCCAGATCAGCTCCAAAGGAAGAAACACAAAATGAAGCAGATGCTTCACCGAGAGGATGTGCTAAGACACCCTGAGGCAGGGAAGGGCCAGTAATTATCGTTTAAAACTGTCTCCATTCATGCCCTCAGAATAGGGCAGAAAGCTTGGCCTGTGACCAAGGATTTTAGCTTCCTTTCCCCAGCCACAAAGGTGAGATGCCAGAAGTAAAAAGAAGGATATCAGCTTAACATTTGAAGTAGGCAAGCTATGACTAAAAGTTGGTGGCCAACAGCTTCAGCCAGTCTGGCCAATGAAGAGAGAGATGTTGTGTGCTGTAGCTTTGGAGGGTCCATGGGTTAGAGTGGCATCTAAACCCCAGTAACACATAAAAATTGATAAATAAGGCGGGTCCCTCCCATTACATAACCCAACTGTGAAATCCTTCATGTAGGACATCTGAGGTCTTTGCTCTAAAGTTTCCATTACTGCCTAATTCTGCTGATTTTGCATGAGAAATCTAGAGGGCAGGAAACATCTTATCCCATGACATGAAAACATATCTTAAGACACCGGAGGCTGTAGTCAATTGTGTAAATCACCACTACCACCTACACATATGTTTTGTGAGGATGTGTAGGTAGTAGTGGTAAATTACACAATTGTCTACAGTCTCCAGTGTCTTAAGATGTGTTTTTGTGTCATGGGAACAGATGATACTGTTTTATCTCCACATTGTTTGGGAACAGGATTTTTTTTTTAAGATAATATTTTTGCCTCATGAGAGAGGCAAGATGGCAGCCCTCTCCATTCTCACCCCAAACCCAAGCAAACTGGCAGTCAGATCTTACTTGGGCACTGATTGAAAGACAGCGCACATCACTGGAATGGAGGGCAGCAGATAGTTAACATGGTTCAGGGCAACTACACACAACTCTGTCCTTTAGCTCTCTGGGTCCCGCACCCACCTCACCTGTTTTAGCTGCCTGAAGTAACTGATTCACTTGACCTAATGGTGAGGCTTCTCCTGTCCTATCTTGCGCCTTCTAAATTCCTGCAGTCCTCTCAACTTGCTAAATTTAGAGAGTCAAGAATTTCCCCAACTTTTTGCTTCTTCCCCCTTTCAGGCCAGGATTTATAAGTTGCATGGATCAAAGTTTTAATGGTATTATATTGGGCTTTGATTCTTTATTTTCTAGTTCTGATAATTATCTATCTCAAGAGCAGAAACTCCTTATATAAAACGAAGGGATGAATGTCAACAGGCTTTTAAAATTGCTGCCTAAATGGCCATCAGAGCCACATCTTCACATGCATAAAACCTTCTTGAAAGTCTCCGGGAAATCACTAGAGGGAGCTACTCCATAGCTAATCAATGCATGGAATGATTTGCCGGGTGGGAAATGATGAGAATGGAATAATCTCTGCAAGGACAGCTTTCAGGGGAACTCTACTGCAATATGAACTCCTGCCAGCCTGCCTGGAGAACAAAAGGCAGAGAATACTTACGCTGTGAGCAGCCCATATGCGTGGCCTCGGCACACTCGATAATCCTTCCAGGAGGAGAGGTCGGAGCGAATGGGATGCTTGCCTTCCTGTCTTAGCACCTGTTCAATCAGACTGGGGTCAGCAACATGGACTGTGAGGATGGGCCCAAAACTCGCCTTCCAAACTGGCCCATATTTAGCCTTGCCTTCGATCTAGGAGCAGAGCAGGAGAGAAGCTTGTGAGACATCCCATAATGATCCACTCAGGGAAGAAGATCCAGTCAGGAAACACAATTACATCCTCCCCACCTCCCAATCTCTTTTCTTCGATTAACCCCAAATTCTGTATAATTACTGGAAGGATTGCTAAATAAGAAAAATATCTAGAGAAGCTGTTAATCTCAAATCCAGTCCACTCCAGGTAGAAATATACTGAACCAATGGAAGATATGTTCCACGTGTCAAGTTTCTCAATAGTTACATTTTCTTGCTGAGGGGAAAAATGATTGCAGAATTTTTCTCCCTTACTGGTAACCTCCATGTCAAAAAGGATAAGCATCTGATGCCCAAAATGAATACCCAAATACGTTGGTACATCTTAGGATCTAGGAGTTCTATAATGCAAGCACCTTCATATATGTGAAAGGGATTAACTCGGATTGAATAGCTAAAGAAGCACTTAGAAATTGCCAGTGCAAGGACAGTGGCTTATTGAACAAGAAAGGGCAATTTTAGTCCTGAAGATTACACGACAAAACTAAGTAGTTGGCTTTTTCTACTGCAATCAATAGGACTGAAAAATAGGCTTAGCCTTCTTTGGATTGATTTCATGCGATGTAGACTCTTAAAAGTGGGACAAAAGGATTGTTGGCTCTCTAAACATGTGTAGGATTGTGCTTTTCATTCATTTGGTTAGACTAGAGCAGTGTTTCTCAACCTTGGCAACTTGAAGATGTCCGGACTTCAACTCCCAGAATTCCCCAGCCAGCGATGGGGAATTCTGGGAGTTGAAGTCCGGACATCTTCAAGTTGCCAAGGTTGAGAAACACTGGACTAGAGTGTTCTTCAGACTCTTGAGCAGCTTTCATTATTTACTCTCATTTTCTGTTAAGTTGCTTACTCCTTATGGTTCTGTGTCTCTTTGATAAAGTAGAAAAGTGAAAAAACTCTTAAATAAAACCAAACTGAGTTCTTAAGTTAAGCATCCGCAAATGGTTCATTTGCTTTCCCTTCTTTGGAAAATACAATAGTATATCAACAATAATTAAATAGCAAAAAAGGATCACAACAATGCATATATACCAGGGGTGTCAAACTCGCGTCGTCACGTCATCATGTGATGTATCATCACTTTCCCCCCTAAAATGGAGATAGGGATGGCCAGCACGTAACGCATTCGGCCTGCGGGCTGTGAGTTTGACACCCCTGATATATACAATCGTTCTTAGAGGATACACATGCAAAGAGAGGATATCTATTTAATCTCAATGCTGCCCACACTATCCAAAGACAGCGGTGGTGCATAAATCAAACAGCCTCACCCACCCTAAAACCTTTATGGTTTTTTTTTACCTTTATAAAAATAATTGACATTTGACTACCAGTATAGCATTCAAAAAATTTAACACTGATATGGTATTCCAAAATTGTCTGCTCTTCACCCTTCAGATTCTTTCCAGAGATAATCAGGACAGTGATATGCCAGCAAGGGCATTTCACAAGATAAGTATTTTGAATAATTTTCTCTTCCTATCTAATGATGTACTGCTAAACCTACAAAACTATTTTGACAATGTAAGGTAATAGCTCGCACTACTCTGTTTCATTAATATAACTCGGTCAGAGTTGTCAGATATCTTTGGAAGGAAGAATTGGATTACAATAGGAAAATATTTTATATAATAGGATCATTGCAAATGTAAATAAAGGCAATAAAAAAGTCAGCAAGAAAACAACCAAATCCCCTCAGTACCAAGGACACTTCAATTAAAAATATAAATATAAATATAAATATACCTGTACCTACCTATACCTATACCTATACCTATACCTATACCTATACCTATACCTATACCTATACCTATA